TCTTCATTTTCACACACTCGCTTTTTTGCTCTGTGTTTGACAACCTATTGAAAATATGAAGAATTTTTAAATGATGATTCTGTGAAAAGTTAAAGTAGGAGCGATCCTGGGAACTGTGAAGAAAGCCCAGCAAACAGAAACAGATGACAAGCTAAAGAATTGCTTTAAAGAAGGGTCCTGCCAAGACTCCTGAGAAAATAACCTCAGAACATTCTCTAACTCATCCCTCTGCTCACTCTCCCATAACAATGCAGGTTAGACACAGCAAACTGTGAGGCAAGGCTGGAAGCAGGCACCATCAGAGTACTATAAAAAGGCACTACTGTTGCAGGTACAAGAGAGCTCTTCGTAGTTAAGACCACTCGCATGCATTATGTGCCTGTTACGTGTGAGGCATTGTTCTAAACACCAGCAGACCAAACTTAAATTCCATGGGGAGAGAAAAACAATAAACAAACAAAAAAATGAGTAAATGATATCATGTTAGGAGATAAATGGCACTATGTAGGAAAGCAGGACAATATTAGGGACTGAAAGTGCAGAGTGCAGAGAAGGAGAGGGAGCAGGTCACAGTGTCAGTAGAGCAGCCTTACAGAGCAGTGAGGTTTGAGAAAACTTCAGGAACGTGAGAAGTCTTCTGAAAGGTCTCGGGTGAAAGTGCTCCAGGTGAGAAAACACTAGAACAAAGGCCTTAAGGTGAGGTTTGCCTGTGTATTTAAGGAAAGGTGTGGTCAGTGTGAATGAGGAAAAACCAAAGACAAAGGCCGGCCTGCGGGGATCCTCGGGTTCTGGTAGGTCTTGCAGGCTGCTGTCAGGACTTTGGCTTTTCCTCAAAAAAAAAAAAAAAAAAAAAAAAAAAAAAGAGGAGGGGCAGTAACTGGCAGGTTTGTAGCCAGCAGTGACTTGATCTGATATCTTAGAAAAAGGTCCTTTGGGTCCTGTGCTGAGAATAACCTGTGTGTCCCAGACAAGAAAGAGCTAAAGGAGTTCATCACCACCAAACCAGTATTATAAGAAATGTTAAAGGGACTTCTTTAAGAAGAAAAAGAAAAAACCTGAAAAATATGAATAGTAAAATGGCAATAACTACATTCCTATCAATAATAACTTTAAATGCAAATGGATCAAATGTTCCAATCAAAAAGAATTGAGTGGCTAAATGGGTAAGAAAACAAGACCCATACATTGCTGCTTTCAGGAGACCTGCTTCAGTTGAAAAAACACACACAGACTGAAAGTAAAGGGGTGGAAAAAGATATTTTATGCAAGTGGAAACAAAAAAGAAAAACAACTAAGCTAGGAAAGCAATAGTTACATCAGACAAAGTGGACTTTAAAACAAAGTCTATAACTAGACAAGAAAGGACTCAGCAATTCCACTTCAAGGTATTTATCTGAAGAAACCCAAAGCACTAGTTTGAAAAAACATGTGCATCCTTATATTCATTGCTGTATTATTTACAATATCTGAGATATGGAAGCAATCTAAGTATTCATTGGTAGATGAATGGGTAAAGAAGATGTGGTACATACATACAATGGGACATGACTTAGCCATAAAAAAAGAATAAAATCTTGTGATTTGTAATAACATAGATGGACTTAGAGGGTACTGTGCTGAATCAGATCAAGAAAGACACTAATATATGGAATTTAATAAGCAAAATAAATTAACAGACAAAACAGAAACAAACTGATAGAGACAGAGAACATTTTGGTAGTTACCAAGCGGGAGTGGGGTTGGGAGGATGGGTGAAAAGGGAGAAAGGATTAAAATATGAAAATTGCTAGTTACAAAAACAGCCATGGAGATGTAAAGTACACCATAGGAAATATAGTCAAATATTGTGATAAGTATGTATGGTGTCAGATGGGTAATATACTTATTGGGATGATTGTCTAATCTCTATGTTGTATACCCGAAACTAATGTAGTATTGTTTATCGATTGTAATTGAAAAATTTTTAAAAATTGGAAAAAAAAACCCCCAAAGAATTAAAATTTTGAGACAACAGATTAGCCTGGATTCTCCAGGTGGGCCCAATCTAATTTTCTAAGTCCTCATAAACTGAGAAGCTTTCTGGCCTTGGTTAGAGAACCAAAGAGACGAGAGCGTAACTCAGCCTGACGTTGTTTTTGAAGATGGAGGAAGGCGCCATGAGCTGAGAAGTGCAGGTAGCCTCCAGAAGCCAGAAAAAGCAAAGAAATGGGTTCTTCTTCAGAGGCTCCATAAAGAAATGCAGCCCTGCTAACACCTTGATCTTAGACCAGTGAGATTCATGTTGGATTTCAATCCACAGAACTAAAGGATAAATTTTTTAAAAAACAAAACGAACAATCAAAAAATAAAGAGAGGCCTGGCCAGGTACCTCAGTTGGTTATGGGCATCATCCTGAGCACATTCTTACTGGGTTTGATGAATAATGAACAGTTGTGAAAGAACAGGAGAGGTGAAAGAGTGCAAGGTAAGTGCAGGAAACTGAGGGAAACTTAGCAAGGCCTGTTTGTTGAGATTCTTCTTGGTGTCCCTTTGTCTTTGGAGATGAGGAGTCTCCTTTCTTATGACCTGCTTCAGGGGAGAACGTGGGTGAAGGTCAGAGGAACCTAGCTTCTGCTGTTTATTTTTTTCAAACTTCTTCAGCTTAATATATTCAACATGCCAATGTGCCACATTTTAGGGTAGCATATCCTAACCCCGTCAACCCTTATGTGAGAGTTGCTCTCCCTAGACCTGAAGGAAAGGAACCTCCTTACCTCTCTGAAGACAGAACTGCTGAGAAGAATCTGAACAAAGATCTTGTTCACTTTCCCCTAGTTGACTGCTCTTAGCTAATACCCTTTGTCTTATTACATTTTTTCATGACTTTTTTCTCTTCATCAAACCTAGCATAAAAACACTCAGGCTTAACTGCTTTTGTCGGTCTTCATTTTCTTATGAAGGCTCTGTTGTCACATAGAACTTTAATTAAATAAATGTGTATGCCTTTTGTCTGTTGCTCAGTCTTTCCCAGTCTAATTTATAGGGCCCCAGCTGGAGATCCTAAAATGGGTAGAGGAAGAGGTTTTTTTTTTTTTTTTCTTGCCTACATCCCCTTGCTCACTATTTTGTCCTGGGTATGTAGGTGTAGGGCCTTTTATAGAGTGGTTGCTCAGGAAATAATAAATGAATACGTGAACAAGTGAGAATGAGGATGAAGCTGTAGATTTTTGGTGGTGATCCTTTAGAAAAACACCTGCACACTGGTTTTAGAGGTTGATGGCATGGGTGATTAGTAAGTCTAATTTCACTTAAAAATATAAAACTTTCCTGTTTGCTGATAAAGGTACCAGCAACAGCCCTTTTGTACTTAAGCAGTCATCCTGTAGCTATGTTGAACTGAGGGTCATCACAGCCACAGTATTTTGCAATTCCACTGTTTCCCCAACTCCTGAGTCTGTACTTGCCTTGTGACTTGATTTGACCAAAAAAAAAAAAAAAAATGAGCCATAGGCCTTATAAGCCTGTAACTTCCACTTTTGCCCTATTGGAATGCTGTGTCCTTCACATAAGGAAGCCCAGGCTAGACAATGGGATAAGAGACCTCATGCTTGGGTGGTACTTGTACCCATGAGACTGAGTAAGGAAGTGAGGATAGATGGGGGAGAGAGCCAAGGCCAGTGCAACCACTGACATCAGAGCAAAGGCAGAATATTTTGGAACAGATGCAAGTAATTGGTTGATGGGGTGGAAAGGCAAATGAAAGATCTCTTCTAATTGCTGGATTTTTTTTGTTTTTGTTTTTTTGTTTTCTTTGTTTTTAGTTAAACAAGAAGTAGGATTGGCAGGTGATGGGCGGGCAGGCAGGCAGGGAGACTATAGTGGAGAAGAAGGAGGGTGTGTACAGCCATCCCAGTGAGTGAGAGATTTGACTAGGGAAATGTAGTGCACTTCTCCAGCAGTAGCAAGGTCTTCTTGATGTTTATGATCATTAAAATGAGTAATGTTAGCATCGTGCTGTTTGTTTTCCTCCAGCCACATTTACTTGCCTAAAAGTAGTTCCAGAGTAGGTGGAGAGTTGGGGTTTTTTCCAGATAAAGAGAAAGGAGAGAATAGGCAAGAGGTAAAAGGTCTATGAAAAAGAGCAGTTACAATGATGGAGCACAGAGTTTATGCTGGGTAAAGAGGGAGTGTGAATAAAACTATAGAGATGGAAAGAAAAGTGAGAGTTCTCTTGAAGGTGAAGAATTATTGGCACTAGGAAAAGTGAATTGGAATGACAAGAGGAGCTAAAGTGGGCTCCTTGAAATTGATACTGTGGAGGACACAGTTATTAGGAAGGTCAAAGTTATAATCCTGGGAATGGTGGCTGAGCCTGTTGGATTAAAAACTGAGAAGCTGCATACACATTGCAGGAAACATCTATGTGGATATTGAATTCACCATGAATTATGAATTGAGCTGTATTACTGGCTTTACTTCTGCGAGATGGTTGCAAGCGATCTTAACTCCCTGAATTTTCCACTCAGAGCACTCACCACAGTTTGTATTGGTCGAGTAACTATTTGACAATAATCAGGAATAACAGTCTGTTTTTCTTGCTTACTGACTGACATATAGTTGGCGCTCAAAAGGCGAAATGAAAAAAATGAATACTATTCTAGCTATGAAACAAATGAATTATAACGCCAATGCGTTTTCGCATGAATGGAAAAGTCTCCATGAGGGCGGCGGTTTTTTGTCTGGTGGATTCCCTGACGCTTTTCGAGTGCTTAGAACAGTGCCTGACGCACATGAGGTGTTCAATTTGTTGAATGAATGAAGGAACCACCTTCAATACCTCACCGCACCTGCGCTGGAAGCCCACGGGTCTGACAGACCCCAGGCTCTCTGCGCCTGCGCAGTGTCTGCGAGCCCTGGCGGGCTTCCGTACCTGCTGGCCCTTATTAGATTTGACCCCTGCTGGCCCCAGTAGCCGATGGGGCTGTTCCGGTGTCCCGGCTTCCTACTGGGTGTCCCGAGCTTTCTCATCCGGGCTCCTGCTTTCTACTCTAGGGCTGGGAGAGTGGAGATGGCAGCTCAGAAGATAAATGAAGGGCTGGAGCACCTCGCCAAAGCTGAGAAATAGTAAGTGAGAGACTCTAATGTGGGCCTCTGTATGGGCGCTGGGGTCGTGCCCTCTCAGGCCAGGTTGGAAGGAGGGCCCTAGGGAATGCGGGGGAGGTTGGTGGGAGACGGTGACGGTGGCGATTTGGAGGCCGGCGGCGGGGGCGCTACAGGTCAGTAAGTGTGGTTGCCCCCCACCTCCCTCGCCGGAAAGTCGTCCCCATGCCCTTTCTGGGGGTCGTTGGGGTGGAGGCTCCGCAGCTTTTGCTCTAAGCTTGGTTTCTGAACCTCGACACTTTGGACTGAATGAGTCCCTGTGATGGAGGCTGCCCTGTGCATTGTAGCTTGTTTTGTAGCCTTCGTGGCCTATATCTACTGGCTGCCAGTAGCACGCTTCTCCTTCCTCCTTCCCTCTTTGTGACTAGCAAAACTGCCCCCGTTGAGAACCACTGTTCTAAAAGACTGCCTTTTGTTGAGTAGTGGCCTACAGATTTACCCTGAAAATTCTTCCGTGACCCTTTGTCCTGTCCCACTATGCTCTTCCTGGGGTAAGAAATGCACTTCCTTAGTCTTTTATGTTTGTTCGGCCGGCTTCTACTGTATGTTATAAGCACCCAACAAATATTTACAGAACTTAATTGATTTCTGCATATCCTTTTGACACTCTCCTCCTTCTCGGTTGCATTATTCCCATCGAATTTTTATCTGGCAGTTCGAGGTAATGAAAAGTCTGCATTGTGTTCTGTGTTAGATGCTTCACGTATCTAATTTGACTGACATCTCCACAACTTTCCAAATAGAGATTCTCGTTTTACAGGAGAGGAAATGAGGCTTGGAGAAGCTCAAAATAACTTAGCCAAGGCTGCACAGTGGAAAGGTGGCAGACACATTTCTCCACCAGTGGGAAAAAACTCAAGCCATTTTTGTTGTACTACATTATTTCCAGGCAATGTGGAAGGTCCTGGGGCTCTTATGGTGCATGTGCCCATAACAATCTTTCTGTTTATTGAGAGCTAACACAAAAGTATTATTAGAGTAGTGTCTACAACAAGGATCTTCCTAAAGCTGTTAACTGTGTTTTGGTAATAGAGGGAGATTATTCCACCTGGGGATATTTAGGAACATATTAATGTGATTTCTGATCAGGGTCTGAAAAATAAGAAATATTTAGAGGAGGGGGAACCCTGTGACAGAATCCATTCCCAGCATGTAGTTTAAGCACAAGCCTGAAAATGTACTGAGGAAACAATGAATGTAGAGTACTTGCAGTATCCAGGGCATGAGCCAGAATGGAAAAGTATTGGGGCCAGACTGTGAAAGACTGGCCCCTCTGTTCTAATGGCCCTGAACCTTAGCTTTTTTAGGGATCTAATAACCAGTGGGACCTGGTCAGATATATTTTAGCTAAAGGAAATATGACAATGTAGAGGAGGATGGACTGGGAGGAGGGGAGAGTGAAAACTTTGGCATATTTAGTAAACAAACATCTACAGAGTTGTCACTGTGTATCTGTACACCAGCTACTGGGGTTACTGAGCTAAAAAGTGGTCTCTTCCTCAGGAGCTTAGAAATCACAGGAGGGCAGACAAGTAAACAGATGAGTTGAAATAAGGGATTCATTACTAGATTAGAAGTATACAGTGGCTTCAGTTGAAATACAAGGTGAGGGAAGGTTGCTGTCCCAAGGGTGGGAGGAATGGAAGAAGAGGGCAAAACCCAAAAGGTGACTTTGCCATTATGGTAAGGGCTCAAATTAAAGCAACAGTATAGCAGTATAATTGGGTGACTTTCCTTAGGTAGAATAGAAAAGCTTTGATGACTTGATTGGATGTGGAGGGAGAGGCTTGACCCCTCTGTTTCCAACTTGGTAGGTGGAGTGGTGGAGAGACTGTCAGTGGAAGCAGGGGGCAGAGATGAGTGAACATGCTGGGTGGGTAGGACTGGGGCAGAGAAGTGTTGGATTGAGGCTTCAGTGTGTCGTGTTTGAAGGCTCAGTAGGTAGCAGGAAAAATGGGCCTAGAATGGAGACGTGGTTTGATATTTATACTTTCTAGTGATATTATGGTTCAATATTGCCAAGTAGTTTTGTAATTAAAATTAACCCCCTCAAGCAGGTAGTGTGGTTTGTGGGTTTTGGTCCTAGGGAAATTGGTTAAACTGTTACCCTCAACAGAATTTCTTTTTTGACTCTTTTAAAAAAAAATAGTCAAAACAGGTATAGCCGTTGAACTAAACTATCTAGAGTGCCTTCTCGCTTTCTAATTAGAGATACTTAGTTTACTGAGGATGATTTATTGGGTTGGCCAGAAAGTTCATTTGTTTTTTTTTCCATATGATGGCTCTAATAGTGCTTTAGTTATCTTTAACTTCATTCAAAACAATTTTGTTATGTTATATTGTGAAAGCTGTTATATCAGCTTGCATTTAAAAAAACTTATCAAAATTGGTGCATTTTTGTGTTGCCATTTTGATATTGAAGGTTGAAGAAAATATGCAACGTTTTTAGCATATTATGCTTTATTATTTCAAGAAAGGTAAAAACACAACTGTAATGCAAAAACAGGCTTATGTAGTGTATGGAGAAGGTGCTGTGGTTGATCAAATGTGTGAAAACTGGTTTGGGAAGTTGTGTACTGGAGATTTATCGCTGGACATTGCTCCATGGTTAGGTAGACCAGCTGAAGTTGATAGCGATCAAATCGAGACATTAATTGAGAATAGTCCATGTTCTACTACATGGGAGATAGCCAACATACTCAAAATATCCAAATTAATAAAGTTATTGGTGAAAATGAAAAATGTGTTTTTTATTTTACAGAAAAAACTGTACGGACTTTTTGGCTAACCCAATAATACTGTATTTTTAAATCTTTAGTTCTTTCATGTGTACCCCGTTAGACAACCGAATGATTATACCTTGTTTTTAATGAAATTTAAAAATTGTTGTTACTATACAGAATATAATAAGTGCTTTGGAGTGGGGTGGAGGATTAAATTTTTGTTTTATTTCATAGTTCCTCAATTTTGTGGATTAGAGTGGACAGACCGCAATTTAAGGAATTTTTTTGAGCAAAAATATTCTTGGTAAGCTTGAAAAATTACATTACAGATTTGAATCTCATACCAGTATATATATATACATATATACACATATATATGCACACGCACATGCATATATATATATATATGCACATACACACAAATATTAAATAAATTGGCAGAAAAATGTTCCTTTAAAGTTGGGGCCTCTGGGCAGTTGATACAGCTGTCACAGCATGAAGGCGTACTTCTGAGGGGATTCCCCCTCTCACAGGTAAGGTTGGTTACTAGCATGTTATATATAAGCTAATTGAATTAAAATTTAGAATCTAGGATGGTGTTTATTTAGCAATTTTTATGCACCTGCAGACTTGATGGTCACTGAGTTAAACTGGAAATGCATAGTTATTTTAACTTAGAGCAAGGAAATAAAATATTGCAGAGAGAGCAGGTAAGGTAAGGACTCAGAATTGATTGTTCTTTGGTTTGGCTTCTAAGAAGCCAGTAGTGATCCTTGAAAGCAGCTTCCCTTGTTTTCATAACATCCTTGTCTTTTTGGTTATTGTTATTGTTCACTGGTGGCTCATTTGCAGCCTTTTTTGGTGATTCCCCCTCCTGTTCCTCTGAATGTTTGTATTCTGTAGCCTTTCTGCGCTCTGTCACGGTCTCCGTAAGGGGATTTTAACAAGGCTCTTGGTGTTGCCTGTGCTGATGACTCCTCATTTAATCTCCGTAGCCTCTCTCCTGAGCTTCAGTCTCACAAATCCAACTGCTTGCTTGGTGCTGTGCTTTAGAGGGTTCCCCCTTCTAATTTGCCGCAGGGCTTGTTGCAGATTTTCGCTGCCACCCCAGTCAGTGGTTCTGTGACTCTTGGATGAGGCAACACTTTACCTTTCTGGCACCTTTTCTGGTAATCCCTGCTGTATACTTGGATGTCATACAGGCATTTCAAAAGGAGGAAAACCATGTCTGTGGCAGTGGGAGGGGAAATGTCAAGACGGTATTAAATTGTAAATAAGGTTGGATGGGGACTTGTTACTTGATGGCTCCTCTCTTTTGTTTTTTTTAATGACCCATAAAGTCATTACAGATAGAGTTCTAACTTATAAATGTAGTTGGCAACCTGTAAGAAATACGCCTTTCTTTCATTCTAGCCTGAAAACTGGTTTTTTAAAGTGGAAGCCAGATTATGACAGTGCTGCTTCTGAGTATGGAAAAGCAGGTATGTGCGACTATAGCCCTGTAACTTCAATGTATAATATTAGAGTAGGCTGATAACTTTATCTTAGAATAATACTTGTTCTAATGCTTCCTATAAGATCCTAATAACAACAACAGCCACCTGCCCAAGCCCTTGCGTGTTATTTTCAAATGTGTTGAGGGCTGAGTCAGAGATCTGCGTACTTCTTCATGACAGCAGAGATGAGTAGAGTTGGCAGGACTTAGCTGCATGTTTTTAGCATTGTGTATATATTCTTGAACTTCAGTCAGTTGCATAGTATTTCTAGAAGTTTTGCCGTATTCTGTTTTATATTTCCTGTTATTGAATAAAGATTTTTGTTAAATTTTTTATAATGCCTTATTGTAAGCAGATCTAAAATCACGTTTGGTGCGTGTTTTTTTATGAGCCTCACTTTGAGATATACTGACAAATGTTCATGAGTGTTAAGCTACATAAATATTAGAATATATTTATCTGTATGTAAAATAAAAATGACCTGAAATATGCAGTAGATATAGGGATTTTGCTAAAAATTTGGCACTTTAAGTTATGGAATGATGGCTTTTAGCACATCCGTGATTATTTGTGTTTCAGTGATAGCAGCTTCTGATCACTTTTATTTTCCTAGCATAGAGGTCATGTAGGTACTGTGCTTTTCGCAAACTTTAGTTTTAGTATATCACCAAAGAAAAAAGAAATTGGGTAAATTGGAGCTAATCAGTACAATGAAGGTGTTATTTTCTACATTATAAAAGAAATGACAACAAATGAGTCTTTAGCACTTTTATTTAAATCCTAAGTAAATTCTCGATGATATTTATATATCCTATTTAAAGGGAAATATATTAAAAGTTCAAGCTTTATATGGATTTTATGGACACCTATGCAAGAAGCATTTGTAATGGGAGGGCACAACTTTTTATAATTTTTCATTGGGGAAATTTGAAATAGATTTGTTGAATATACATCTGAGGCCATGAGCTCCTTTCAAAATAAATATTTCAGGTCAGGTTTTTCCCATTAAAGCATTTTTATTTTTTAAGAGTTTATGCAAAATACATTTAAATCAGGGAGGGAAATAGTTTCACTAGTTTACTTTCAGTATTTTACTAAAGAGAATGTTAGAAGTGTGTTCCTAACATACATTTTTTAAAAAAATTTGTATCCTTTTTATATATATGTAAGCAACCTTTGGTAAAATTGTCAAATCTATAATATATTTTAGAGCCAGTCCTAGTTGTTTTGCTCTGATGATGACGTTTTACAACACTGAGCAATGTATTTTAATTCTTTGGATCCTGAGATTTTTTTCTTTTTCCCCACAGGAACCTAAACAGTGCAAAAGCTTTATTTTCAAAATATTTTTAATTTTTAGACATTTATTTAAAGATTATGTCAAAGAGGAGGGTTTATTATAAAAATATTTAATGTATTTATTGGTACTTATTTCAAAATAAAAGATGGAATAAGCTATAACTAAAGCACTCTTTAAAATATTATTATTAGATATGAAGCTAGTGAAGTAAGCTTCTGTTTTTTGTGACAGTACCTGTGATTTGAGAGCTTTGGTTTGACTGATGCTATCTTAGTTTCTCAAAGCTTAGATGTTGGTGTTAGGAAGACTCCTTGTTTTGAGTGGAAGTTAGCACTGATTTGTAGGAAAGAGTCTACAAATAAGAAAACAACCAAACTTTTGAAAATACTTCTAAGGTATAGATTATCAAAATGTGGTAAGAAAATTGCTTTAAAAAAATTATACTTTAAAGTTTTATGACTTTTCCTAAGTATTTGATTAAAATAAGTTTACGTATTTCCTAATACTTCACACGGGATGCAGCTTTTGCTAATGATTCATTTGAAATTTTTTAAGTGGTGGAAATAGAAAGTCTTTTTTGTTGTTGTTTTATTTCAGCTGTTGCTTTTAAAAATGCCAAACAGTTTGAACAAGCAAAAGATGCCTGTCTGAGAGAAGCTGTTGCTCATGAGAATAACAGGGCGTATCTTTTTCAACCTTTAAAAAGGACTTAACAATTCCATGATTTTGACAAACACATTTTCTCTTGTTAATAAATTTGTGACATGTGGAGTACAGTGCTGTTAAATTAGAAAACAACCTGTATATTTAAACTTTGAAGGAGCATTTATAGACACTTTTGATCATAAAGTCTATACTACTTTGCAGAGTTACATTTGAGAATTTAGTTTTCTTTTTTTCTGGATTTGCTTGGTAATGGTTTTACTTGGGATGAAGTGAGGAAAATCTGTAGACAGGCACTGAAGAATTAAGAGGTAGCACAGGTATTTGAGACATAGAAACTGCTCTATAAATATTTTTTAAATACAGTCTTTCTCAGATATTTGAAATAAGATTTCCCTGAAGTTTTTTAAAACTTAAACTGAAAAATGTTTATTTTGTCTCACTAATTATGGTTATAATAGCCTTGCATTTTAGTAAAACGCTTCAGATTAATGTATAATGGAACTAGTTTAAAATCTGTGAATTCTTGTGAATTATGTAGTTCTAAGAGACATCAGCAGGTATTAAATTATTTCTTCTTTACCTGTTTGTCGGATTTGCCTTTTGGATCACCAGTGGGGCAGTGATATAATTACCTTTGTCTTTTAATTAGTAAATATTTAGAAATGGTTGATTTGCTTTTTTTCCTTAATATTAACTTTGTTACATCCATTCAGTCTTTTTCATGCTGCCAAGTAAGTAAATATTCTCCCACATTTTCATGTGTTTGCAGATTATTATATTTCATGTTGCTGTTTTACCGTAGGTCAGTAAATTTTTCCTAAAATATAAATTTGTAAATAATGAATTCTTTTGTACTGACTTAAAAATCATTTCCATTTGTTTCAATCTTTACCTGACTAAGCTTTCCTAAGATAAACAGTGCTCAAATTAAATTCACATTAATATTTTTAGGATCATTCTGTTCAGTAACCTATGAAAAACCAAGTAAGTTAGAATCTTTTTTTCCCCCCTCTTTCTTGATAATTAATAATGCCTGTGGAAAAAGTAGGAAGCTTTCTTCCTGCTTTTGTGGAGAATACCTATTTGTTTCAAAACTTGGATTTAGGCTTGTCAAGTAGAAGCTTATTTAACCTTTCTGAGTCATACTTAGTTTTGCATTTGCAAAATAAAATCCCTTCAACTCAGATACCTGATGTTTCTAAGGCATTATTGCCCACAAAAATAAAAAGAATAAAAAACATGTTCTGTGCTAATACAAGCCTAAAGTAATATGTAGTGCCTGAACCAGTTAAAAGTGAAATAACTTCCCTTACTTGTAGCAGAAAGTTTGTCCTCCTTTTTTCTTTAAGATCTCATCCAAGAAATTATATTCTCTTTGCAGAGCTTATGAGCAAGCTGGCATGATGTTGAAGGTCAGTAATGTTCTGTCATAACTGTTATAGGTAGAATGAATTCACTACATGGTAATGAAGTAAATTTATGTTGAAGTTGTAAAGTCTCCTTGCTGTAAAGCAAGAGAAAGCAGTAGTAATTATACCTACAGAGTACATTGTGTATGTCACAAGATAAGAAGTTTTAAAAGTGAAATTTAAGAGAGGATATTTTTGGAGGGAACTGGGAACCCCAAGGTTCTAAGTGTTGTCACCAGGAGAGAGTATATCACTCAACAAAGAGCTGCGTGGGAAGCCTCCCTAATTTTGAGAAATGTAGGACAACTTAATGCAGTAAAAATTTACAGGTATGTTTTTTACTCTCTACGAGTTAATAGAAAGGAGAAATTTTGTTTTATATAAATATCAGTTGGCAGTGAAGAGAAAGACTTAAGCTGTTATTTAACTGTGATTCTTTCTGAATGGAATATTTTGGTTAATGTGGTTATGCCACTTTTCATATTTCTGCTTCTCAAAAATAGGTTCAGAATTAATATCCTGTTGTGAGACAGAATATACTGCTTTATGAAACTGACTCTCAGAGTATGCCAGTGGCAATTGGAATAGAACATTTTCCTTTTTTATGTTCTCTAATATGTAAAAAGTTGTTTTGAATTATTTATTGTAATTATGTATTGTTTTAAGATCTTATTCTGTTTGTTTTTAATTTTTACAACTTCTATAATCTTATGAATTTTTAAATATATATTTTATTGATTATGCTATTACAGTTGTCCCATTTTTTTCCTCCCCTTTATTCCCCTCCACCCTGCAATGCCCCGCCTCCAGCATCCCCCCTCCTCCCGCCTTAGTTCATGTCCATGGGTTGCACATATAACTTCATTGGCTTCTCCATTTCCTATACTGTTCTTAACATCTGCCTGCCTATTTTGTATCTACTATTTATGTTTATTCCCTGTACCTTTCCCCCATTCTTCCTCCTCCCGCTCTCCTCTGATCTCCATTATTTCTGTGATTCCATTCTTGTTCTAGTTGTTTGCTTAGTTTGTTTTGGTGTTTTTAGGTTCAGTTGTTGATAGTTGTGAGTTGGTTGTCATTTTACCATTCATAGTTTTTGATCTTCTTTTTCTTAGATAAGTCCCTTTAACATTTTGTATAATAAGGGCTTGGTGATATGAACTCCTTTAACTTGACCTTATCTGGGAAGCACTTTATCTGCCCTTCCATTCTAAATGGCAGCTTTGCTGGATAGAGTAATCTTGGATGTAGGTCCTTGCCTTTCATGACCTTGGATACTTCTTTTCAGACCCTTCTTGCCTGCAAGGTTTCTTTGGAGAAATCAGCTGATAGTCTTATGGGAACTCTTTCGTAGGTAACTGTTTCCCTTTCTCTTGCTGCTTTTAGGATTCTTTCCTTCTCTTTAATCTTGAGTTATACAATTATGATGTGCCTTGGTGTGTGCTTCCTTGGGTCCAACCTCTTTGGGACTCTCTGAGCTTCCTGGATCTCCTGGGCATTTTTTTCTTTAGCCAGATTGGGGGAAGTTCACTTTCCTTATTTTTTCAAATAAATTTTCAATTTCTTGCTCTTCCTCTTCTTCTGGCACTTCTATGGTTCAGATGTTGGAACGTTTAAAGTTATCCCAGAGATTCCTAAGCCTCTCCTCATTTTTTTGAATTCTTTCTTCATTCTGTTCTGGTTGAATATTTATCTCTTCCTTCTGCTCCACATCATTGATTTGAGTCCCAGTTTCCTTCCCTTTACTGTTGGTTCCCTGTATCTTTTTCTTCACTTCACTTTTCATAGCTTTGACTTTTTCCTCCATTTTGTGACCATACTCAACCAATTCAGTGAGTATCTAGATTACCATTGTTTTGAACTGTGCATCTGATCGGTTGGCTAGCTGTTCATCACTTAGTTCTATTTTTGGAGCTTGGATCTATTCTTTCATTTGGGCCATATTTCTCTGTCTGAGTGCCCCTGTTGGAAGAGGCAGAGCCTTAGGTATTCACCAGGGCAGGACAACCCAGGTCTCTGTGTTGTGACACTGTATGTTGGGGAGGGGTCTGGGAGGGAATGATGCTGCTTGCTCCTCTCTCAGCTGACTTTCAGTCCCTTCCCCTGCTACCCACAAGTGAATTGGGCCCTTCTGGTGCTCGTTCCCGGGTGGATGGGTTTTTGTACATTCTAGGACCCTTTGGGTCTCTCCAACGGATTCTCTGTTGAGTGTGGGAGTTTCTCCTGCAGCCACATCCCCCACAGGTTTTTACAACCAGAAGTTTTGAGACTTGTTTTTCCTATACTGGAACCCTGGATTGCGTCGTCTGTTTTACTCCCTATCTGTTCCTTTAGGTTTATCCGCACACAAAATGCAAATGTGGGACTGCCCAGTTCGCCAGGCCACTTGCTTCTCTTCTTCCCGGCTGCCTCTCTCCACCCCTCCTACCTGTCTGGATGAATGTTTCTTATTTAGCTCCTTGGTTGTTGAACATCCATGCAGTTGGATTTTTTGGCAGTTCTGGTTATATTTTGTTTTTAAGTTTGTTGTTGTCCTTCTTTTGGTTGTGTGAGGAGGCAAAGTGTATATACCTATGCCTCCATCTTGGCTGAAAGCCCTCTGGTTTTTAAAGTGAATGCTTTCTCATTATAGGTCATTAACAAGTACTAGAAAGATTAAAGAATGTTAGTAATTGCTGTTAACATCTTTAGTTTCTTTCTTGTAGTTATTTTCATGTTATATAGAAAATAGATAATGTCCTACATATAGTATTGTATCTTACTGTTTATATTCAGCGTTCTCAGGAAGATTTTCTAATGTCATTAAAAAAATACTTTCATAATATATATCAAGGGTTTTAAGAGTTTTCATAGCCTTTGACCCAGGAATCCTAATTGTAATTTTAATTTATAAAGAAATAGATAGCTTCCCCTGAGACTAGAAAACACCACGGTGCCTCGTGAAATCTTAGTGTCCTTTGTGCCTGTTGTTAGTATACATTGTCTTAATACAGAAATACTTAGACCACTAATAATATATAATCTTCACAGCCTCAGCTTTTATTCTAGCAGCTGTGCAAAGGCTTTAGTTTTCATCAGTGATTATTTTGCAGAAATTATTTTATTTAGTATCTTTTAAGGATTTGAAAGGCACTGCTTGTAATGAAGGAAAAATAAACCTATGGATAGGAAAAAAGACAAAAGAAAATGTTGTCTGACATTCTCTTGTATTTAAAATAAATGCTTTTGAATAGTCATGGCACAATTAAGAGTCTTAGAAGTCCTGAGCTACCTGATCTGCAGTTCGTTCTGAGGGATGAAATTTCCGCCATTTTGTCACAAAGCTTCACATTCATCCTCCAATGAGGCTTAGGAAGGGAACGTTTGTCGATGTTGGATCAACCTCTCGTTCTTTCATTTCACAGCTCTTATGATTTCATATTCTGTTTGTTCCAAAGAAGCAATAAGGTGACTAAGGCACACAAGCCACTGAGAATAGGCATATATTAATTTTGTTCTTTATGATTTTGCCATACCAGAAGAACATGGTGAAGAGTATAAAACAGTGTAACTTTTAAGTAGGCAAGCGATCCTTTTTTTTATGGAGAGGTGTTAGCATTGTTGTTGGGCCTCTACAACTAATAGTCATGCTTGATTTGATACAAAACCAGGAAGAGATACTTAGTTAATTTTTAAACACATAACTTAGATGGTACTTCATATTGCCCTTTCATGTAGCTACTGCTCTGTGTGTCTTATCTATGAGGGTAAGACTCATAAAAAATAGTGCCCTGTGATAAATTTCTTTAATCCCCCTAATGTTTTATATATCGTCGATTCTCAGTATATATTTAATTAAAGGATCAGTGAGTTGGGGGAAGAAATACTCTGTCAAAGCCAAAGTAACCCTTGGCACTAAGGTGGGTGAAATAGATTTTGTTAGACTTACCTTCCCTTTCTGTCAGATGTCCTTCAACATATACCATAGACACTTGATTCTTTCCTCAACCTTTGGTTTCTATAACAAAAAAAAACAAACAAAAAAAGATTTGAAGTTATATTAACTGATATCATTCCACTTTAGTTTGATAGCAACTTATTTTGTATAGAATATTTTAATCTGTTTTATTGTTATTTATCTCCATAGCTAAATAATAAAAAAGTTTTATTTTAAAGTCTAGAGTGGGACCAGCAAGTTTTGAGTCTAAAAAAATTTGTTAACATAGAGAGAGACTAAATAGGCAGATTTGAAAACAACCCATGAGATGTCAGCATGCAGCTTACATTAGCATACAGCATGTCAGCCCGAGGTAACTAATGCCATTATGCTTCATGTCAAGCTTTTAAATTACATTTTTTAGTTTTTTAAAAAAGTTTTGACACAGAGATATTCAATATGAGGTCCACAGGATGCTGAGATTTACAGTTTAATGGTAAGATGCAGAGTTACTCTGTTGCTGGCATTCGGCGTGGAAGGCGGTTGCCAACTCAGACGACTCAGGGCATAGGGGAGTGACCGAGGTGAAGGAGGTGGGCCTGGGTGGGTGTGTGGGGCAGTAGGAGATGGGGGAATGAGCCGGCTTCCAGCAGGTCGTATGCCTGCACAGGACTGCTGCTGCTCAGGCCCAGCACATTATTGCCACGCGGAAGCTCAAGCCTGCTGATGGCATAGATTTTGATATATCTTAAAATAAGGAAGTCATAAAACAGCTTTTGTGAAAGTATCTGATTTAAAAATACTGAATGGTTCAAACAAGATGTACTTGTAAATAAGATGCAGCCATTTGAGCTATCTGTTTTGTGTAGTCCCTATATATATAGTAGAGACTCAGTTAATGTTCAAAGAATTTTGAATGCTTACGGAAATAGTAGAGAGCAAACGTTTTGGTTTTTACCCTTTGTATAGTTTCCTTGGAATTCTGTGAAGTGATGGATTCTGTGTAGAAATTAACTGACACACATTTGTTTTGGCTGAACGAAGCTTGATGGGGAGAGTAACTGTGTGAAGGCATTTCATTTTAAGTATATTTATTGTATAAGATTTGACTACTTTCATGGATCAGAGATAAGATAATTGAATTTTAGATTAACTTTGTATTTAAGATGGTGCATTTGCTGATCCACATTGTATCCTTTGCCTAAAGGAGATGCAGAAGCTACCAGAGGCTGTTCAGCTAATTGAGAAAGCCAGCATGATGTACCTAGAAAACGGCACCCCCGACACGGCAGCCATGGCATTGGAGCGAGCTGGAAAGTGAGTGTGTGGAACAGCCTCTGCACAGAAGTCATTGTCTTTTTGTCTTAATGAAGTCCTTTGAGAAACAAGTTTCCCATTTCTCATATGAGTCAAATTTTCTTTTCTAATTTAGGCTGATTGAAAATGTAGATCCAGAAAAGGCTGTACAGCTTTATCAGCAGACAGCTAATGTGTTTGAAGTAAGTTTGAATTTTTTTCTTCATGTATACTTAGGATATTTAGATTCATAATATGTAAGAAAACAGAGAAACAGCAGTTACCTTATGAAACTTTCCTGTGCTCACAGCTGAACTCTTGTTTTTTTCTATTAGAGAGTAGTGAAGTGGACTAGCCAGCCCGTTTGCTGTTGCCCTCCCAACACAGTTCCTTCACCCTCATACTGAGTGCCGTTACTGTTTTGTTAGATAATTATTGGAGGGAAAAAAATATTACTACATTAAAGTAGACAACACTCTCTTTTGTTTGATTCCTTTAGAATGAGGAACGTTTACGACAGGCAGTTGAATTACTAGGAAAAGCCTCTAGACTGCTAGTACGAGGACGCAGGTGAGTTTTCCCAAACTGTTCATGTACGTCCACGTATATTATACCTTTAGTTCATGTTTGGAACTAGTTAAGTAATTTCGTGAATGGCTTGTTAATCTTTTTGGTGTAAGCCATAGACATACCAGGTGAACCCGAAAAAAAATTGATATGTATAAGAAAGCTTATTGAATTAAATATTAAAAGATCTGCTATTTTTCGAAAATGTAATCTCAAAAAGTATCCTACATTGTGCTTTTATTGGTTAAGAGCTGGCTCAGAAGCACTAGGGAGCAATTTTCATAATCTGATACTTGGTTAGATTATAATATCTTTTTCTTGAGGAGAAATATCTCCATAGGCATACATTACAAGGTGCCCTAAATACTCACCCCTGAAAATGGACAGCTTTTTGATAACCAAATAGTGTCATTAAATAGGGTATTTACTTTTTATCCTTTAAATATATGGCCTAAGGCACAAACAGCTGGATCCCAGAAACCTAGAATCCCTATTGGATTTTCCTTTCTTACCTTGCTTCAATTTAAGCTTAGTAAACAGTTTCTGTCATTCATAAAATTCTGTTTGCTGAGATCTCATTTAATAACAGTTAAGATAAACACCCTTAAGAGACTGTAAGTCTGAAGATAGATATCTTAGTTGAAATTTACCCCTAACTCTCTAGTGACAGGAAAGACCCAAGATATATTTTTTCAAGGAAATCAAGAAAGAAATAACTGAATAATTTATGCATCCCTTTCTGAGATGGAATTAAAGTTTTTTTTTTCATTAAGACTGAAGATTCTAAAATATAATTCAAAATTTAGAGTAGCATCAGAATAAATTAATGCAGAATTAAGAGCTATTAAATGTTCTCATTTAAATATACAACTTTATAGGACCTTTTTTCATTGATTAAACAATAACATTTTTGTTTTCAAATTAGGACTTTGTACTAAACCATGAAGCACAATTTAATTAATAAAACAACCTTGAGTCATTACCTTTATTCATCTTAATGCTCTTGGCTTCCTAGAAATTAAAACAATTGAAATGCTAACTCTGGCACTTTCCAACTAGTAAATGGTGGCCTAATAAATTGAGTTTAGTCTCTGAAAGAGTTTTCTGCAGAAACAAAATTACTTGTGGTGGTTTTTGGCTGTTGCAGAATAGCTGAACTAAAAGGTTGTACCTCGATTTTGACCCTTGTGAGCAGGGCTCCACACTGTAGTAACAGGAAGTTGTGTCTTTGACTCTTTGGTAGGTACTACGCAGATAGGCAGATCTGGCATACCTTTACCTTCTTTTCTCATTTATTCCTACCCCACAATGTCCTCCCACAAGGCTTCCAGTGCCTTCACAGGGCCCTTTGAAGTGGGAGCCTTTCCACAGGGCCCCCTGAAGGCCTGAGAAGTGAAGTTAAAAGTAGGGGCAGAAGGTGGGGTGACTCTTGTGTAGGAAGGTGCTCTGCTTCAGCTTCCCTAAGGTATTTCTGCTTTCCTCATCCTTTTTTGTTTTGTTTCCTGAAATGCAAAGTATCTAAAACTGTTTTATAGGGAGTAGCAAAAGGAAGGAGGGGGCCTAAGATGTCTATTGGGACATCAGTGGAGGAGCATTTTCCAGCTATGCATACATGTTCCTTAAGAGACCTCCATTAGGGGTGGTAGCCACCATCATTCTGAAAAAGTTACTGGTTGATTGTGATACATGTCTGAGAATCATGATTTTAAAGCAAGTACTAAGTTTTCTTCATAGTGTCAGTGGAGGGAGAAAGCGTGAATTGAATGAGCAGCAGAAGTGAGAGAGTTATCTCGATATGCTTGAAAGGTGGACATTTATAAGTGTAGGGCAACCAAGAAGTCTTTTGTTTACTTTGTTAATTTGTTTTATTGCTTTTTTATCTTTTAGTAAAAATGCATTTAAAAATAGTAGTATTTAATGCAGTGTTTGAATAAAAATTAGTTTTGTGGAAATATTTTTAAAATTTGTCTAATAAGGTAAAAATTTATTACAGTTTATTCAGGAATATTAAGGAATTTGGTACTTTTAAGAGTATCACTGGGTATATGTAGTATGAAAGAATTAAAGGTCAACTGCCACTGTAATTCTATCAGGAATCTAGTGCAAGGTAAGAAGAAAAACACGGAGTTGATACTAATGCAAAGATAATTGAGATAATTTATGTGCTGTTCCAATATCTTGAATTTGTACTTTGATTATAATCTGATTTGAGGCTGGCTGTCAGTTGCCTAAAATAAATAAAACAGATGGTAATTTTATACTTTGTATAAATAACATCTGATAGAATATAGAATGAAATTTAAAATTTTATACTTGTTACATTTAGTTAATATGCTTATATTTTTTCATTAACTTGAGGCTGTAAGATTTAATTCTAACTTAATAGTTTAGTTTATGTCTTAGCATAGCAAAATTAAATAACCTATTTAATATATTGGTATTAGTCCCCTTTTTTAAATTTCTGGAGAGCTGGAGTGCAGAAGTGAGTTAGATTTCATTCAGGTCTTATCTAGGGGGACTTAAATCAGTTCTAGACCAGTGTCCTTGTTTCCTCCTGGGAAAGGCCTTTCCAGCAAGTTTATTTAACTTACCTGTGAGACTTTCTGTTCCTGTTCCAACACTATTGTCTGTGTTTTCTTCTGGGTTTCTTTTCGTTTTGAGTCTAACATTTATGTCTTTAATCCATTTTGAGTTTATTCTTGTGTGTAGTATAAAGAAGGGTGTCTGGTTTTATATTTTTGTGCATATCTGTCCAGTATTCCCAATACCATTTATTGAATAAACTGTCTTTACCCCATTGTATGTGTTTGCCTCCATTGTCAAATATTAATTGACTGTAAAGGCGTGTGTTTACTTTGGACTCTCTACCCTGTTCCATTGATTAATAGGACTGTTTTTATGTAAGTACCATGCTGTTTTGATTACTGTGGCTTTGTAGTATAGTTTGATATAAGGTCGCGTGATTTATCTAATTTTGGTTTTCTTTCCCAAGATTGTTAGGACTGTTTTGTGCCTTTTATGGTTTCATATACATTTTTGGAATATTTGTTTTCATTCTTTGAGATAGGCCATTGGCATCTTGATAGGAATTGCATGAATCTATAGATTGCTTTGGGTAATCGACATTTTAATGATGTTATTTCTTCCTATCTATGAATACAGAATCACTTCAACTTACGTGTATCATCTTCAGTTTCTTTCTTCAGCGTCTTATAATTTTCCAGGTACAGATCTTTTATATCTTGGCTAGATTTATTCCTAGGTATTTTATTCTTTTTTGAAGCAATTGTGAATAAGACTGTTTTCTTTGTTTCCTTCTATGATAGTTTATTTTTGGAGTATAAAAGTACAACCAATTTCTGGATATGAATTTTGTATCCTGCTACTTTACTGAATTCATTTATCAGTTCTAGTAGTTTCTTGGTGGAATCTTTGGGGTTCTCTACATACAGTATCATGTCATCTGCAAATAACAGTTTTACTTCTTCCTTTACCATTTGGATGCCTTTTATTTCTTTTCTTGTCTTATTGCTGTAGCTAGGACTTCTACTACTGTGTTGAATAAGAGTGGTAAAAGCAGGCATCCCAGTCTTGCTCCCAATCTTAAGGAAATCACTTGTAGACTTGTAGTTTTTGCCCATCAAGTATGATATTGGCTGTAGGATTGTCATTTATGGCTTCTAATATGTTGAAGCATGTTCCCTCTGTTTCAACTCACTTGTTGAAACATTATTATAAATGGGTGCTGGATGTTATCAGATACTTTTTCTACATCTATTGATATGATCATGTGGTTCTTATCCTTCATTTTGTTTATGTCATGAATCGTGTTTATTCATTTGTGAATATTGTACCAACCTTGCATCCCTGGGGTAAATTCTACTTGATCATGGTGTATGATTTCTTCAATGTATTGTTGTATCCAGTTTGCTGATATTTTGTTGAGGATTTTAGCATCTGTGTTCATCAGAGATATTGGCCTATAATTTTCTTTTTTTGTAATGTCTTTATCTGGTTTTTGAATTAGGATAATGCTTATCTTGTAAATTGATTTTGGGAGTCTTCCCTCCTCTTGAATATTTTGGAATAGTTTGAGAAGGGTAGATGTTAGTTGTTCTTTGAATGATAAAGTTCGCCTGTGAAACCATTTGGTCCAGGACTTTTGTCTGTTGGGAGTTTTTTGATTACTACTTCAATTTCAGTAGTTGTAATTTGTATGTCTAGAGTCTCTGATTTTTCTGATTAAGTTTTGGAAGCTTATATGTTTCTAGGAATTTATCCATTTCTTCCAGATTATCCAATTAGTTTGCATATAGTTGTTTGTAATATTTTCTTGCTATCATTTATATTTCTTTTGTTTTAGTTGTTATTTCTTCTATTTCATTTCTGATTTTATTTATTTGGGTCCTCTCTCCTTTTTTTCTTGGTAAGTCTAGGGGAAGGTTAATCAATCTTGTATATCTTTCCAAGAACCAGCTGTTGGTTTCATTGATCTTTTCTATTATTTTTTAAGATTCTATTTCATTTATTTCTGCTCTGATCTTTATTATTTGCTTCCTTTTATTAACTTTGGGCTTGTTTTTTGTTCTTGTTTTTCCAAGTTCCTTTAAGTGTAAAGTTAGATTGTTTATTACAGATTTTTCTTGTTTCTCGAGGTACGCCTATAATGCTATGAATGCCCTCTTAGGACCACTTTTGCTGTGTCCTGTGGATTTGGAGTAGTTGTCTTCTCATTTTTATTTGTTCAAGGTATCTTGATTTCTCCCTTGATCTCATTGTTAACCCATTCCTTATTCAGTAACATGTTATTTAGTCACTGTGTCTTTGTGTGTTTTTCAGCTTTTTCTAGTGATTGATTTCTAGTTTCATATCATTATGGTCAGAAGATGCTTGATATTTTTCCAGTTTTCTTAAATTTATGGAGACTTGTTTTGTGTACTTATGTGGTCTATTTTAGAAAATGTTCTGTGGGTATTTAAAAAGTATATTCTGAAACTTTGGGG